CAGGCCATGATCCAAAAGGCAAACAGCTACAGACGCGAGGACCAGGACGCTCTCCGAGACGTAGAGGAGCAGCTCCGAAGGCAACGCCTCTTGTAGATTAGTTCATTAGAGTTTCTCTTCCCCCTTTTTTTATTGTTTATTTGATTTGCAATGCGTTCCTATTTGGGGAAAATTGTCGGTATTGTTTCTGTTTTAGGCGTGGGGCCCAAGCCCCGTTCAAAATGTAGACAGTCGTCCGTTCTCCCCTCCCCTCCGTTCCCTCCGTTGCCGAACTTCCAATAGCTTTCAGTTTGTACGAAAATCAGTCTGCTGCGCCCATGTTCATGCTGCTACTGACCTTCAATAAATGGAAGAGCAGTAGCAAAAGCATAAACATTAAAATTTGATTGTTTTCCGTGCTAAACGGAAAACAATCGGAAGTCTGGCAAGGGATGGAATGGAGGGGATGGGGGAACGGAGGACCGTCTAAACGGTTTGAGCGGGGCTCGGGTCCAATGGCTAAAACGGAACGTGATAGACCTGTCCTCCCACCAATCCTCTAGATGTCGTATCGGCCGAGTATCGGCAGCATATTTATGTCGTGGGAAATACTGATGCAAAAGTAAAATGTACAATTCATCATTCCAGTAATTTCTATTTTTGTCGTATCCAGGAATCACCATGCGCGACGTGCCCGGGGCGGCTGTCGGCATTGACCTGGGCACCACGTACTCGGTGGTAGGGGCGTGCCGGAGGGGCAAAGTGGAGGTCTTCGCCAACGACAACGGAAGCCGTACAACCCCAAGTATCGTCGGTTTCCTGGATGGCGAGTCGTTTGTCGGCGATGCGGCCAAGGACCTTCCCGCCGCCAACCAGGTGTTCGGTGCGTGTCTGAGGTGAGCCCCTCCCCGTCCTCACCGTGAGCCCCCTGAGCGAGCCAGTCCCTTTGCCGCAGATGCCAAGCGGCTCGTCGGCCGCCAGTGGAGCGACCTGAACATCCAGAAGGACCGTGGTGCTGGTGGGCGGCTCCACCCGCATCCCCAAGGTGCGCGCGCTGCTCCGGGACATGTTCGGCGGCAAGGAGCTCCGCCAGTCCATCAACCCGGACGAGGCCGTGGCGTACGGCGCGGCGGTGCACGCCGCCGTCCTGAGCGGCGACAAGTTCTTCGACAGGATGGTGAAGCTCAAGGACGTGACGCCGCTGTCTTTGGGCATCGAGATCCTTGGCGGGAGGTTCAGCTGTCTTATAAAGAAGAACACGCCGATTCCCTGCAAGAACACGCAGAAGTATCACAATTCTAAAGACTATCAGACCAGAGTGCCTGTTAAGGTGAGCTGACCAACATTTTTAATAACTAAGGCGGAGACGCCGTTGTTCGGCCCTTTGCTGCCATAAAAGCCGTTTTATGCATACTGTATACAGTTTCTTGTCGGCAGATATACCAAGGGGAGAGGCCTCTGGTCAAGGATAACGTGTATCTGAACAAGGACGCCATGATCAGGGTTCCTCCTCTGCCAGCGGGGCAGGCAGAGATCAAAGTGACTTTTAGCATAGACCAGAGCGGTCTATTGACGGTGACGTCCGTGGAGCCCACCTCCGGGCGCCAGGTG